AGAGCTCCAGGGCACAGAGACCCCACCCACAGGCTGGCTTAGCCAATTGCAGTGCAGGTAGGTGTCAGGGGCAGGGCTGGCAGGGCCAAACCCCAGGCTTAAATGGGCAGCCTCCCACCCATCACCAGGCCTGCTGGATACCCCCTGACCTGCACCTGTGACTGAGCCTGCACCACTGCATCTGCCTCAGGTGAGATCCCCACCCAGGCCTGAAGGGAGGGGTCACCCTTGAAAACACGGGGGGATACCAGCCTTGGGGGCCAGGGGTTTGGGGTTCCCAGGAGGCACTCTTCCAGGGCCTGGCCCCTCCAGGCATGGCAGCTTGACCCCCACACATCAGAGTCAGGGCCCGTCACTCCCTGCATTGCCATCTACATGCTCTGGAAGCAGCAGGAGAGTCGCAGGGCAGGGAGCAGGGCAGCAGGCCCCCAGGACGTGTCACATCCTTAGTCTTCCTCACAGCCTCATGGAAAGACTTGGGAGGATAAATGCAATCTTTTTGCTCTACCATAGCGGTTCTAACATCTCGGAAGAAAGGAGCAGGGCTTTTTAGGTGGTTTGGTCTAAGCAGAAACCCGTGTGTTTTCCCTTCCTAGGTTTTGGAACATGCATCCTTCTCTCCTCCTGGCTGCCCTGTGCTTGGGAACAACCACAGCTGCTCCAGAAGCCGACCAGAGCTCAGATGCGCGCTGGTCCCGGTGGAAGGCGGCGCACGGGAAGCTGTATGACGAGGTGGGTAACCGCTGCGGCGTCCAGTGAGACCCCCAGGGGATGTTCTGTGCTGGTGCGAGCTCACAGCAGAGAGTAGCTGCTTGAGGCCGCTCTAGCCGAGGCGGTCAGCGGGGCACCGTGACTGCACAACGGTGGGGGCGTCTGTCCCGCTGCGTGGTTGCTGGAGAGCAGCTCCCGGAGCGTCCGCGCAGCCCTGGTCAGGGTTTCCCGTCCTCTCTGTCAGCGCATCCGTTTGGTGCAGGTGAGTTGGTTTTAAATAGAAACAAAGATGATGGGTTATATGTCTTTCTGCAGAATGAAGAAGGATGGAGGAGAGCAGTGTGGACAAAGAATATGCAAATGATTGAACGGCACAATCAGGAATACAGCCAAGGGAAACACAGCTTCGCGATGGCAATGAACGCCTTTGGTGACCTGGTGAGGGTGGCATGGATTGCTGAATGTTTCGTGCGTCCTGTCCTCAGTACTTTACCAAAAAATCTGCTGCTTGTCAACATTCTATTTCCTTTTCCTTGAAGACCAGTGAAGAATTCAAACAGGTGTTAAATGACCTTAAAATTCAGAAGCGTGAAGAAGGGAACGTGTTCCAAGCACCTCTCTTTGCTGAGACCCCCTCCTCTGTGGACTGGAGAGAGAAAGGCTACGTAACCCCTGTGAAGGATCAGGTGAGACAGTATTCAGCAGGTCCCTCTCCAAGAGTAAAGCCAAAAGGAACCAGTGTCCTTGCTATGGAAGTTGAGGAACCGTATACAGTTTGTTATGTTTTGAAAGAGATTTCAGATCTAAGGGCTGTTGTCAAAGTCTTGCTATTAATTTTGTAGACTAAAAGCTTTTTCATTTTGTTTTCAGGGTCAGTGTCAATCTTGTTGGGCTTTTAGTGCAACTGGTGCTCTCGAAGGACAGATGTTCCGGAAAACTGGCAAACTCGTGTCACTGAGTGAGCAGAACCTGCTGGACTGCTCTCGGTCTCAAGGCAATGAGGGCTGCCGTGGAGGCCTGATAGATTATGCCTTCCAGTATGTGAAGGACAACGGAGGCCTGGACTCAGAGGAATCCTATCCGTATCTTGCAAGGGTAAGTGGAGTTCCTCATCTTCTATCAAAGTTGAGCATATTCGGTAAAAACAGAGACTACATTTAGAATACTCATTTTAGATTGTAGGCTCTGTATATGCAAATGGTCAGAACTGTCATTAAAATGTATTAGCCTGGCACAGTTCTCTGCCTAGAGGGTTACCATATAGCTGTTCCTACTTCTAGGTCACACAGCAACACAAATACCATTTTATATATAGCACAGATCTCCAGAGTGAAAAATCTATGAACAAGTGGACCAAAACTGTGTCTCATTGAATAGATATCTGCTAATTTCCCAATTTCAAAACAATCAATCACAATTTGCATCTTGAGATGCTTTATAACAAACTTGACTTGGGAATCACTCAGCTGCAAACTCTCTTGAGCTCATGTTCCCCAGGAAGTGGATGGTAATAATCAAGTCCCTTCCCCTTTCCCTTTGAAAGAGTGAATCCTGCAAATACAGGCCTGAGAAATCTGCTGCCAATGTGACCACCTTCTGGCACGTCTTAAACAAGGAGGATGGTCTTATGACCACAGTGGCAACTGTGGGGCCGGTCTCTGCTGCTGTAGATTCAAGCCCGGATTCCTTCCAGTTCTATAAAAAAGGTAAGCGTTGGTCTACATAGAAAATTGGGCAGAAAAAATGGGTAACCAGCCTGACATACAGCAAGATTGACTCTAACTATGTGGAAATCAGGAGAGTGTGGATTTAGCATAGTGGCTCATTCTGTATATTAATCCTTGTTCCTATTGTCACCATTTGACATGACTTGACCCATATCCCCATGATTTTAAGCACTTCATAAATATATTTAAATGACTACATAACTTGACTGGTATAGCTTACTTTACTTTGTTCCAACTGTTGGGCCTTGAAAATTTCCAAGGAATTTTACTACTGAAATCAACATTGGAAAGAAACCCTTGGCTCAAATAATTTTGTGTTCTCTGCTGCTTCCTTAGGCTGACATCACATGGTAGAATGACCAAGTTTCAACAAGTGGTCTTTTATGCCCCTTCACTGTTCTTTACAAAAGAGGTGGTGACAGTGCGTATTTCTGCTAATATTAGATGATGTCCGAAATCCCTAAACCACCTAAACAAAAAGATCTGATTTCTAAATCTTATCTGGATTTGTATCACAACTGAATTTTGAGCTGCCTCCTTTACTGTGGTTACTAGGTTATTGTCACACGTTATCATGGCACTTGGATGTTCCACCTCAGCATTGAATTTTACTTTTTCAGGCATTTATTATGATCCAAATTGCAGCAGTGAAAGCCTGAATCATGGTGTTCTGGTGGTTGGCTATGGCTTTGAAGGAGCAGAATCGGATAACCAAAAATATTGGATTGTCAAGAACAGGTATAAAGAGTAAAAAAATACTTATCTTTGAAATTGAAAAGGGAGTCCTTTTTGGAATGAACGTTGAGCTGCAGATCCTCAAACCCTGAACATACTTCTGAAATCCCAAAAGTGTTTATCCCACTGAGGGGGAACAGAGACAATTCATGTGATGACACCAATAGCTTGCTAGGTTCCTGCTGTAGTTTCGCTACCATTGCATTCCTCAACTTGAAAATTTTCTTATTTCTGGAACACATCTGACCCCAAGAGTTTCCTTTTCCTGCCTCTCATTTTGCACTTCTGTGAAAGCTTCTTCCTGAATCTGTCTTGGCCTCTGGTGCACTCCTCAGTATCAGGTGTGATTGTTCGTGAAAAGAAATGTGTTGGATTGTTGGTAAGAAATGGCAAACTCTGTCTCCTTCCAGCTGGGGTACAAACTGGGGCATGCAGGGCTACATGCTGTTGGCCAAGGACCGGGACAACCACTGTGGAATCGCCACCATGGCTAGTTTTCCTGTCGTGTGAGCTGAGGGCATAAGGAAGACCTTGACTGGGGACAGAATATCCAGAAAATGAATTTTATTTTAAAACTGACCACACTTGAACCACTGAAGACCCAAGTTGTGATTTGATTGTGCGGCATTTTACACGGGGAATGTTACCACTTCACTCATCACTGCTGTAAACACCTTTGTATGACTGACTTGTCTAATAACTTTTGGATTTTCCTTTTTTAAAAAAATGTATGAAGTTTTACATTTTAAAAATAAAACAACTTCAAGGTAGACGTGAGGTAAAATGTTAATACATTAACCTTTTATAGAGTCAAAATGGGACTGGGCTCTAGGGACATCCCTGGGTGTGCCAGGGGTCAACTGGGAGAATACTGGGTGACCCAAATGTTTTGAGTATAGATGACACCCAATGTTACGTTAGTTTCAGGTGCACAACACAGTAATCTGCCAACCCTACACAGTAAGCTATGCTCACCACAGGGGTAGCTCTTGTCTGTCAGTCTCACGGTACGAGTACAACGCACTTACAGCACCATCGGCGATATTCCCTATGCTGTGCCTTTTATTCCTGTGACTTATTCTCCATAACTGGAAGCCTGTACCCCCCAGTCCCCTTCACCCCTAGTAAAAAGTAAAAAGACATCCTTAGCTACACAGATGGGACTTCAAAGCTCAGAAAGCTGGAAATAAACCTTGTGCTTTTTTACTAATCTACAACCTCAGCCCAAATTCCACTTAGAATTCCTGAGATTTAAAGCTCCCATACACCGGTTTTCTCTATCCTGTCAATTTCTCACGCATTATTGTCTTTGTCTAAAATGTATAAAACCTGCCCTCCCCACCCCCCCAACTAACAACAACAAAAACCTGCCTGCCTTGGTCATTTCTTTGGGTCTCAAATTCCTCACTGGGCCTCCGTATCTATGTAATAAAACTTTGTAGGGTTTTTTCTACCGTTAATCTGTCTCATGTCAATTAAATTCTTAAGCCAGTTGGAAGAATTTTGGAGGAAATAAGGAAATTTCTTCCTCCCTACAAAACCATTACATTTTTTTACTATAAGGAAGTTTATGAATTAAAAACAGCAAGAGGGGAGCCTGGGTGACAGTGGGTTAAGAGTCTGACTTCAACTCAGGTCATGATCTCAGGGCCTTGGGATGAGCCCAGAGTCATGCTACCTGCTCAGCATGGAGTATACTTCTCCCTTCCCCCACCTGCCCCACCCCCCGCAGTCACCCCCCCCCCACCGGCTCATACTCTCTCTCTCTCAAATAAATAAATAAAATATTTTAAAAGAAAACAACAGAAAGAATCACACCTCAGCATATGCAAGTAACTTTTATTTTAAAAAGCAAAACTTTCTGCAACCTTTTAAAACATGAAAATTCAAAAGTCATGAAGTGACTCACACAACACTGATTAGAGCAGGGAGTAAGGAAGTAGTGATGTCTCCAGTGTGAACAGTCACAGAATCAAATCATAAGTGGGATCTTCAGTGATTCAAGTGTTTCAGCCACACAGTAAGGTGTGGTCAGCTTTAAAATAAAATTCGTTTTCCGGACATTCTGTCCCCAGTCAAGGCCTTCTTTGCATCCTCAGCTCACACGACAGGAAAGCGGGCCATGGGGGCGATTCCACACTGGTTGTCCCGGTCCTTGGCCAACAGCACGTAGCCCTGCGTGCCCCGGTCCCTGCCCCTGCTGGACGAAGACAGCGTTTGCCAATTACTACAAACAATCCAACACATTTCTCTTCATGAACAATCACACCTGATACTGAGCAGTGCGCCAGAGGCCAGCACAGATTCCGGAAGAATCCGGAGAGGCCGTTCCTGTTCATGCGTGCGTTCTAACCCAGCACACAATACTTCTATCCCAGACCTTTCACAAAACTGCAACGTGAGCAGGAAAAGGAAACTCTTGGGGCCAGATGTGGTTCGGAAATTTTTTTAAAAAGTCCAATTTAGAAATGCAACGGTACCAAAACTATCGCAGGCCCTAGCAAGCTTGAGATAGTATCTTACTGTGGTCATCACGTGAATATGTCTGTGTTCCAGCTAAGTGGGGTAAACCCTGCTGGGATTTCAGAAGTGTGCTCAAGAGTTGGGGGACCTGCCTCCAAACACTGATTCCAAAAAGGATTCCCTTTTCAACTTTAAAGATAAGTATTCTTGGCTTTTTATACCTGTTCTTGACAATCCAGTATTTTTGGTTCTCGGGTTCTTCTCCTTGAGAGCCATAGCCAACCACCAGAATACCGTGATCCAGGTCTTCGCTGCTGCAGTTTGGATCATAATAAATGCCTGGGAAGTAAAATCCAATGTTGGGGTGAGGGTTCCCATGTGACATGTGATAGTAACCCAGCCTATCAACCACGGTAAGGGAGAAGTATCAAAATTTAACCGTGATATAAATCCAGATGAGATTTAAAAGTCAGGTGGTTTTGTTTAGCTAGACTGGCAGTTTAGGCCCTCATCTAATGCTAGCAGAAATACAAATTGTCACAATCTCTTTTGTAAACAGTAGTCAAGAGACATAAAAAACCACCTGCCACAACCTTATGATTCTCCTTAAAGGACGTGAGCCTAGGGAAACATCAGAGAACACAAAATTACTTGGGCCAAGGGCTTCTTTCCAGGGTTAAGTTCAGTAGTAACATTCTTTAAAAATTTTGAAGGTCTAACAATTGGAAAAAAGTAAAGTGAGCTATACCAATCAAATTATGTAGCCATTTAAATATACTTATAATGTGTTTAAAATCATGGGAATTTGGGTCAAGTCATGGCAAGTGGAAAGAGCGGGCAGAAATATTACGCGTACAGGATGAACAACTACGTTAAATCCACAACCCCCACCCCAAAATTCTACATTGAATTCTGCATACCGAAGTGTCACTCTTGCTGTATGTTAGTGTGGTTTTTCCAATTTTCCTACCTGTATCTCTACATAGACAAATGCTTACCTTCTTTATAGACCCGGAAGGGATCCAGGCTTGCGGGGACAGCGGCAGAGACGGGCCCCACAGCTGCCTCCGCCACCAGAAGGGACGCCCCCTGCTGAGGGATGTTCACGAGGCCAGTGACACTGGCAGCAGAATACTCAGGTGTGTATTCGCAGGATCCGTCCTTTCAAATGGAAAGGGGAAGAGACTTGATTGCTACCATCCACCTCCTGGGGAACATGAGTTCAAGACAGCTTACAGGTAAGGGATTTCCAAGCCAATTTGTCGTAACGCATCCAGGAGCTGAAATGCTGGTGGTTGTTTTGAAACTGAAAAACTACCTTGTGTGTATCGATGAATTATTCTGGGTCTACGTGTCCTTAAGAATGTTTTCACTCCGGGGGCGCCTGGGTGGCTCAGTCGTTAAGCGTCTGCCTTAGGCTCAGGTCATGATCCCGGGGTCCCGGGATCGAGTCCCACATCGGGCTCCCTGCTCGGCAGGAAGCCTGCTTCTCCCTCTCCCACTCCCCCTGCTTGTGTTCCTGCTCTCGCTATCTCTCTCTCTGTCAAATAAATAAAATCTTAAAAAAAAAAAAAAAAAGAATGTTTTCAGTCGGGAGAAATCTGTAAGCTATATAGAACGCTGTGCATGTCTCCCTGTAGCATAGAAATAAAAACAGCCCCGTGGTAACCATCTAGGCAGAGAGCTGTGCCCGGCTAATATGGTTTAATGACGGTTCTGACAGTTTACCGCTGTAGAGTCCACCATTTAAAATGCGAATATTAAATATGGTATCCGTTTTCTTCAAAAGCATACAACTCTGAGAGCAGAGCTGAAATGATAACAGGTGAGGAGCTCCACTCACCTGTGCACGATATGGATCGGATTCCTCTGAGTCCAGGCCTCCGTTGTTCCGAACGTGCTGGAAGGCATAATCCATCAGGCCTCCACGGCAGCCCTCGTTGCCTTGAGACCAAGAGCAGTCCAGCAGGTTCTGCTCACTCAGTGACACGAGTTTGCCAGTTTTCTGGAACATCCGTCCTTCGAGGGCACCAGCTGCACTAAAAGCCCAACCAGAAGCACACTGACCCTGAAACCAAATGATAAAGCTCTCAGGCTAAACAAGAAATAGCAAGGCCTTGACAACAGCCCATGGATCTGAAAACTCTTGTAAAACATAGCAAGGCCATATTGTTCCCCATAGCAGGGAACCATAGCAGGGCTGCTACTTTCTTTTTGGCTTTACTCTTGGAGAGAACTGTGGTGAGTAGCCATCCTTCATACTCACAGGACTTACACCGGCTGTCTGTCTCCTGTCTACAGGTACAATGATTTCAGCAAAGAAGGGTATTTTAAACACCTTCCCATCCTTGTCCTTCTGGATTTTAAGGCCATGCATCATGTGCCTGAATTTTTCATTGGTCTTCAAGGAAAAGAAAGTAGAATGTTGACAAGGATGAGAATTCTTTGGCAAAGTACCAACGAGAGAAAGAATAAAAGGTTCAGCAATCCATGCCACACTCACCAGGTCACCAAAGGCGTTCATTGCCATTGTGAAGCTGTGTTTCCCTTGGCTGTATTCCTGATTGTGCCGTTCAATCATTTTCATATTCCTCTCCCACACTACTCTCCTCCATCTTTCATTCTAGAGACAAACATATAACCCATCATCTTTATTTCTATTTAAAACCAACTCACCTGCACCAAACGGATGCGCTGACAGAGAGGAGGGGAAACCCTGACCAGGGCTGCGCGGATGCTCTGGGAGCTGCTCTCCAGCAACCACGCAGCCGGACAGACGCCCCCACCATTGTGCAGTCACGGTGCCCCGCTGACCGCCTCGGCTAGAGCGGCCTCAAGCAGCTACTCTCTGCTGTGAACTCCCACCAGCACAGAACATTCCCTGGGGGTCTCACTGGACAGCTCAGCTGTTACCAACCTCATCATATAGTTTCCCATATGTTGCCTTCCACTGGATCCATTGAGCATCTAACCTTAGGCCAAGTTTTGTAGTAGCTGAGACTATTCCCAAGCAAAGGGCAGTCAGGAAGAGAAAAGGATGCATGTTTCTGGAACCTAGGAAGGGAAAAGAAATGAGCATCTGAACAGACCAATCTGTCTAAAAAGCCATCCTCTTCTTCTGAGTTGTTAGAGCCACTATGATGGAGTAAAAACATAGAATTTATCCTCCCAATACATACACAAGGACTGGACTGGCCTCACGGTGGGGGGTGGGGGGCGCTCACCTGATAGTGCAGCTCTGCAAGGGCCAACAGCAGGTGTAGCTCTGGGGCTCTCTGATGTTGGGCTGTAGATTTAAGGCCACTCATCGAAAGCCCTGGGGTTTGGCCTGGCTGGTCCTGCCCACACCACCTGGTCACACTGTGATCCTGTTGGTTTTGCTTTTGTTTGCCAAGCTGATGACTTCTGATGTTTTTTTGATGATTATATCTTGTTTTTGACAGAACAAAAACTTCTAGACAATAGCGTGGACTCATATCCCTACCTCAAATTGTCCTTAATCGGTTTGACTAAAAACAATGAGCTCAGGGTGGTTCAGCTAAGTGACCAATGAGTTCACAGTGATCTGGCTTACAGAAACAAGTATATGCATATTCAACAAGGAAGAAGATGTACAACTCCCATTAATCGATGCCATTATAAGACAGGAAGGCAGTGTGCCATAAAGGTGCATTGAAATATATTTTGTCATTGTATGCTATCAACTATATGTCTAGCACTGTGAAAATATCTATATTTTTAGATATTTTTCTCACAACTCAGGTCAAATAAGCTTATAATCATTTTATAGATGAGAAGAGAGAGACAAAAAGAAATTTGGTGAGCCATTCAAAGGAGTAATAAAGTGTCTCATGGTTCATCTCCCTCTCCGATTTCTCCCCCTTTGGATTTCCCTCCCTTCCCCTATGGTCCTCCGTGCTATTGCTTATGTTTCACATATGAGTGAAACCATATGATAATTGTCTTTCTCTGTTTGACTTACTTCACTTGGCATAATCCCCTCCAGTTCCATCCACGTCGATGCAAATGGTGGGCATTCATCTTTTCTGATGGCTGAATAATATTCCATTGTGTATATGGACCACATCTTCTTTATCCATCCATCTGTTGAAGGGCATCTTGGCTCCTTCTACAGTCTGGCTATTGTGGACATTGCTGCTATGAATATTGAGGTGCCCTTCTTTTCACAGCATCTGTATCTTTGGAGTAAATACCTAGTAGTGAAATTTCTGGGTCATAGGGTAGTTCTATTCTTAACATCCTGAGGAGCCTCCATACTGTTTTCCAGAGTGGCTTCACCAGGTTGCATTCCCACCAACAGTATAAGAGTGTTCCCCTTTCACCACATCCTTGCCAACATCTGTTGTTTCCTGTTTTGTTAATTTTTGCCATTCTAACTGGTGTAAGGTGGTATCTCATTGTGGTTTTGATTTGTATTTCCCTGATGCCAAGTGATGTTGAGCATTTTTTCATGTGTCTGTTAGCCATTTGTATGTCTTTTTTGGAGAAGTGTCTGTTCATGTCTTCTGACCATTTTTTGATGGGTTATTAGTTTTTTGAGTGTTGAGTTTGAGAAGTTCTTTATAAATCTGGGATATCAGCCCTTTATCTGACAAGACATTTGCAAATATCTTCTCCCATTCCATGGGCTGCCTCTTAGTTTTGTTGACTGTTTCCTTTGCTGTGCAGATGCTTTTTATCTTGATGAAGTCCCAAAAGTTCATTTTTGCTTTTGTTTCACTTGCCTTTGGAGACGTATCTTGAAAGAAGTTACTGTGGCCGAGGTCAAAGAGGTAACTGCCTATGTTCTCCTCTAGGATTTTGATGGATTCCCGCCTCACATTGAGGTCTTTCATCCATTTTGAGTTTATCTTTGTGTATGGTGTAAGGGAATGGTCCAGTTTCATTCTTCTCCATGTAGCTGTCCAGTTTTTCCAGTACCACTTATTGAAGAGACTGTCTTTTTTCCATTGCATATTTTTCCCTGATTTGTCAAGGATTAGTTGATCATAGAGTTGAGGGTCCATTTCTGGGCTCTCTATTCTGTAATTGGTCTATATGTCTGTTTTTGTGCCAATACCATGCTCTCTTGGTGATCAGAGCTTGGTAATATAGCTTGAAGTCAGGCAACATGATGCCCCCAGTTTTGTTTTTCCTTTTCATCATTCTCTTGGTGATTCAGGGTCTTTTCTGGTTCCATACAAATTTTAGGATTTTTTGTTCCAGCTCTTTGAAAAATGCCAATGGTATTTTAATAAGGATGGCATTGAAAGTGTAAATTGCTCTGGGGAGGATAGACATTTTAACAATGTTTATTCTTCTAATCCATGAGCATAGCATGTTTTTCCATTTCTTTGTGTCTTCCTCCATTTCTTTCATAAGTGTTCTGTAGTTTCTAGAGTATACATAGCCATCCAAGCCTCTCTCAAAAAATTAGAAAAATCCCAAATGCACAAGCTAACCCTACACCTAAAGGAGCTGGAGAAAGAACAGTAAATAAAATGTAAACCAAGCAGGAGAAGAGAAATAATAAAGATTAGAGCAGAGATCAATGAAACAGAAACCAGAAAAACAGCAGAACAGATCAATGAAATTAGAAGCTGGTTCTTTGAAAGAATTAATAAGATCAATAAACCACTAGCCAAACTTATGGAAAAGAAAAGAGAAAGGACCCAAATTAATAAAATCATGATTGAGAGGGGAGGGATCACAACTAACACCAAGGAAATGGAAACAATTATTAAAAATTATTACCAGCAACTGATGCCAACAAATTAAGCAACCTGGAAGAAATGGACGCCTTCCTGGAAACTTACAAATTACCAAGACTGAAACAGGAAGAAATAGACAATCTGGATAGACCAATAACCAGTAACGAAATTGAAGCAGTAATCAAAAACCTCCCAAAAAACAAAAGTCCAGGGCCAGATAGCTTCCCAGGGGAATTCTACCAAACATTTAAAGAAGAAATAATACCTATTCTACTGAAGCTGTTCCAAAAAAAAAAAAAAGAAAGAAAGAAAGAAACGGAAGGAAAACTTCCAAACTCCTATGAGGCCAGCACTACCCTGATCCCAAAAGGGTAAGGCAAAGACCCTATCAAAAAGGAAAATTACAAACCAATATCCCTGATGAACATGGATGTATAATACTCAACAAGATCCTAGCTAATAGGATCCAACAGTACATTAAAAGGATTATTCACCACGACCAAGTGGGATTTATTCCTGGACTGCAAGAGTGGTGCAATATTCCCAAATCAATCAACGTGGTAGAGCACATCAGTAAAAGAAAAGACAAGAACCATATGATCCTCTCAAATGATGCAGAAAAATCATTTGACAAAATATAGCATCCGTTCCTGATTAAAACTTTTCAGAGTATAGGGATAGAGGGAACATTCCCCAGTGTCATAAAAACAATCTATGAAAAGCCCACAGCGAATATCATTATCAATGGGGAAAAGCTGAGAGCTTTTCCTTTAAGATCAGGAACACGACAGGAATGCCCACTCTCACAACTATGGTTCAACATAGTACTAGATGTCCTAGCCTCAGCAATCAGACAACAAAAAGAAAAAAAGGCATTCAAATTGGCAAAGAAGAAGTCAAACTCTCCCTCTTTGCAGATGACATGATACTTTACGTGGAAAACCCAAAAGACTCCACCCCCAAATTACTTGAACTCATATAGCAATTCAGTAATGTGGCAGGGTACAAAATCAATGCACAGAAATCATTTGCTTTTCTATACACTAACAATGTAACTGTAGAAAGAGAAATTAAGGAATCAATTCTATTCACAATAGCACCAAAAGCCATAAGATACCTAGGAATAAACCTAACTAAAGAGGTAAAGGATCTATACTCTAGAAAATGTCTCTTTGTCTCAGCTCAGGTCATGATCTCTTGGTCATGGTCTCTGGATCATAAATCTGTGCTGAGCACAGAGTCAGCTTCAGATTCTCTCTCCCACCCCTTCAGCCCCTCCCCATGCTTGTTCTCTCTTTCTCTCTCTCAAATAAGTAAAATCTATAAAAAAAAAAAGAAAGAAAGAAAGAAAAAGAAAGGTCCATTAGGCCAGTGTTCTTGAAAATGTTTTGACTATAACCATTAATAACATGCATTTTACATCTAATTCAGAGAACATGTGTGCAAGCATGCACACGCACACGCAAAGCAAAAGTAAACTGCCTTACTGTCTACTACGCTCTAAGATATTTTTTTCATTCTTTACTTTTCTATTCAATTCTAGTCTGTTCTGTTCTAATCTGATCTGATCCATACTGTTTTATTCCATTCTATTTGTTTAGATTGCATTTCATTTGGAAAAAAATATGTTAGTAATGACCTGTTAAATGGATTTTATTACCCATTAATGAATTTTCATCCACACTTGAAAAAGTGCTGCACTGGGCAGCTTCTTAGACATTTTACTACATCATAAAATTAATCTACAGATTCAGAATGGAGACAGCGAGACAAAAATAAAATAAAAGGGAATGTATGCATTACATACAGAACAGGGTAACATCACTTGAATAGCCCATAGATGGCTGCCCGTTATTGCACCCAGTATGTTGAACAGGTGGGACTCGTGCAGTGGGATCTAAACAGCAGGTTATTCTGATCTCCTCCTCATTCTGCAACAGCTGTTCAGAGGAGTAGTCCCTCTTAGAAAATAGAAAGTCAGTGTTCACTTATCATGGCAATGGTAGACTATTGAGCCCAACATATTAATCAGTATTTCAATACCGATTCAAAGATGAGACCCTTCTCAACAGCAAAGGCACATATTCCCCAACATAAGGCAAGTCTCCAGAATCCTCCAGTTGTTTTTTAACATGAAATTCTAGATTTAATATGCATCTGCCCCTAGCATAAAAGGAGTTGTTTTGTCTCTAGGAAGTTTTGGGTTTTCTTGCTTGCTTTTTACATAAAATCCCTTACAATTCCATAAATTGAAGACTAAGGATTAGTTGGGTCTGGCCTAGAAAGTTTAGTCTACATGTAACAGCAGGAAACCAGTGTGAATGCTTGATAATTTCCTCAGGCAATGCTTGAGAGTCCAGGGAGGGACTTTCTTCTTGATGTGAAAACAATGATCATTTTGACGGAAGTGCTGGATGGTCTTGGGAGTGTCCAATTCTAACTGATAAGACAATAGAGATACAAGGAAACCCAAAGCTACCTTCTAGAATTTTCACCTACAGATACAAAAAGGAATTTTGACTTTGGACAAATGGGGATACCTTCAACAGAGTGATGGGCATCCTCCTGGCTATGGTGGAGGTTTGCAGTGATCCTTCAGAAAGATTAAAAGGAAAGTAGGGAAAATAATCTGGGCCCCCTTCCCTCAGCAATTCTCTGAGAAG